CGCTTGCACCGCCCGCCGCTCTCCCGGGCTCCGCTCGCACCGCCCGCCGCTCACACCGCCCGCCTGGGCTCCGCTCACACCTCCCGCCCGCCCGCCCGGGCTCCGCTCGCGGCGATTCAAAAAAAAATCGGAATTCCGATTTTAATCGGAAGAATATCATGTCTGCAGAGCAGAGGCTGGCCCTGACCTCCCCACCTTCTCCTTTCTCCTCCTTTTTAACTAGGGAAGAAAATCCATCTTTTTCTCTTTTTCACTCCTCTGGCAGTTCTTTCTGCTTCTGCTGCCTGTCCAACTGTCTGCAGCCTTTCATCATTTTTACTGGCTTTCCCCTCGGTCCCAGAAACCTAACTGGGCCCTCCCGCTCCATGCCTGAGCAGCTGTGACTGCGAGCTGCAATTTTTCACGTTTATATACTTGTCAAATCAACCATCGGTTTTCCAGCTATTTAATCTCTACCAAACTCTCCTCTCCAAAGCTGTTCCTTTCCCTCTCTGTGCTCCTATTTCCCCTTCGCTTGCCCCAGATTGTAAATCTCCATATTCAGTCTAAAAAAACAAACAAGCGCCGAGGATTTATTCTCATCTGGCAAATTGTTTTGGTTGCGCTAGCAAGTAACAGTGACCGTTCACCATTGCAGCTGAATAACCGAAAGGAGTGAAAAGTTGGAAGGTTTGGATTTACGTATTTCAGGTAGTCCAGGGGTGTCCAGCCTTGGCAACTTTAAGACTTGTGGACTTCAACTCCCAGAATTCCTCAGCCAGCTTTGCTGGCTGAGGAATTCTGGGAGTTGAAGTCCACAAGTCTTAAAGTTGCCAAGGTTGGACACCCCTGAGATAGTCCATCGGCTTCTGCAAAATTCAAAGCTAATCAATACATTTTTACGAATACAAATCGTCACTCTTTTCTGCTTATCCTAATTCTCCAGTGCAAAAACCCAGAGGTTCAACAGTGGCAGGGATGCGGGATGGCAGAGTGGCAGATCTTTCCCTCTCTCCCTGCAAGTTAAATCGTGGTAGGTTTCTCTGGGAATGAAATACCTGCAGGAAACAAGCAAGGGCTCCGCAGTTCCACCCTCAGCTCTGCCCAGTTTCTCTTCGCTTGAAAACTGGTTCTTGCCCACAACGCTGTGAGCCTGTTCAAGGGGGCAAAATGTGTCCCGCGGAGGTTGCATCCAGCCGGTACCTTTGCCTGGCAAGCATCGCCGCATGAGGCTGCAGGGCCCCCTCAGGAGCGTCCGCCATCACCCTGGGTTGGAAAGGAAGCCCCTGAAGGGCCCGATCCCGCCAGGGCTTCAGAAACCCTCCCGGATGTTGCCAGATGATGGGGAGCGAAACACCCGCAGCGCCTCAGCCTGCATGGCCCCGAGGGGCACACGGGGAAACCCTCGACCGCAGCCACAGCCGGGACCAGCATCCGTAAGCGAGGGCAAGGCTAAGTGAGCCACACCCGATTTCATGACCGACTGCCGTGGCTGTTAAGCCAATTGCTTAGAATCGTGCAGTCATTAAGTGAATCTGGCTCTCCTCATTGATGGCGCTGGCAGGTGGCGATCCTGGGACACCCCCTCCCCCCCGGGAGACGGCCTCCCTCATAGAAACACACAGCAAGCGCCTGGATTCTGAGGCTGCTGTGACGGTCGCAAGTGTGAGGACCAGCCATGAGCCTCTTTCTTCAGGGATGCTGTAACTTCAAACGATCGCTAAACGAAGGGGTACTTGCAGTAAAAGACCACCAGGCCTGCCCTCCCTCCCTCCCTCCCTCCCTCCCTCCCCGCCCCAAGTCTAGTTCTCCGCGGTCTGGAAGGCAGCCGTGCCAGTAAGAGCTGCTCTAGTGTAACTGTTGCGCTAGCTTAATTCCCCTGCAAACGACGGTCACAGACCGTTCGGCCGATTGAAAAAGAGGAAGCCGAGAAGCACTGAAGCAGGTGCCCAAAGGGACGGTGGAGGCTGGCTTCCCTCCCTGGCGGTGCCTTTCGGGCAGCCTCTGATCGTGGCCTGCTCCTTACCAAAGAAGGCGTTCAAGAGCTTCTGCACCTGGATGTTGCTCCCGACGGTGCGATAGACCCCTTCTGTGGCAATTCCTGAACGGAAAGGGGGGAAAGCAAGAAGCCACTCAGATCGTTCGTCCCAGCAAAACAAAGTACTGAGATTTGAGGAAGCTCACTAGTGCCACCTTATGCCATCGTTAAGCGGGGGGGAATCATTTTTCAAAGGCATTTTGTAACAAACTCTGGAATAATTTAAAATGGAAAAGAACCCAGAGACTGCAGCCCTCTTTAAAATGATTTATTAGAACACAGCGATTCTCAAAAAAAAAAAAGGCTTCGGGGGAAATGGCCTGCAGACGTGCCGTGCGAGCTCAGGCAAGTAGGACAGCCGTGCGGAGGGGCCCAAGTGGACACTCTCCCACTCCAAGAAGATGCTCATCCGAGGAAAAACAGCTCCCGGCACTTCCAAAGCCCCCCGCAACTTCTCCTCCCTTGTAGACAGTTGCTACCTGAAGTAATGGGCCACAACCCTCCCTCCCCCACCCCCGAGAATCCTTCCTGGGCCTCTTTTGTGGCAGGAAGGGTCATCCTTCATGGCTGATGACCTTCGTCCACCTGGGGGTCTCGGCACGCATGCAGGCTGCCATGTTCAACCACCATGAGATGCGCCTGGCCGCATCAAACGCAATCTATGCTGCCTTCTAATTGAAGGTCCCCAAAATATTCCAGCCAAAGGATTTGCAAGGATACTCCAAGCAAGCCATGACAACATCTAAAGCAAACTGATACTGCTGAAGTTCTTGCCTTCATTTTGTTCCATTGTTGGCCACTTTTTTAGGTTTTCTGCCAGAAACACTCTGCTGTCTGGGATTTTAAGTGTTGTCTGAAGAACGAGCTGAACAGAACCCATTTATTTCTGTGGCACTTTTATGATACGGCTTCTTAAAGCCAGAAACAGAAAAGACCCACCCATCCTTCTCTGCCTCTTCTTTATTGTTTCATGCTGGAATATTAGCCAGCCTGAATTTTCCTCTGAGCGGTTCAGAAGTATATTTAACTCCTTTCCCAGTTCTTTTGAAATTGTACACAAGGTCATCCTTATAACAGTTTCCCACTCTTCTTTATAGCAGGTATCAAATATTTACTTTAAATGCTTCTAAAATTGTGTGTCGTCTTTTCAACTGTTGTTTACAAGGGGCAACAAAAAATGTGCGTCTCCACTAACTGCATCTTGCTGTGGACATGTTGGCTTAATTTAGCGATTTAAGAAGAAAGTTAAAACTACTTTAGGATGAAACTTGCAAACGCCGCAATGCTGTCCTAGAACCAAAGAGCTCCTCAGATCCCACCCACTCAACTAGAGAAATTGTCTTTGGGAGCACCAGATTATCCCTTCAGGCCTCTGCCACGGCCTCCCTCCAAGGCTCCATCACTGGCCTTTCTGAACAGATATCCTGCCCACCAAAAGCCTCCATCAGAATAATGGAGGAAAGGCAGGACAGGAGAAGGCTGGGATCCAGAGGAGGTTCCACGTAGCCTTCGTAGCTTTTTGCCACGTCCTCCAAAGATTTGGGGGGGCGGGGAAGGAGGCTTAGAAAAACGAGTTGATTGGCCTCAACTTTGGCAACTTTAAAAGGCTGTTTAGACTATTTCCCTCCGGCCAACCTGGACAACTTTGTATGGACATCTGGGAAAATTCTGGGAATTGAAATCCAGAGATCTGAAAGTTGTCCAGGTTGGGTGGGTGGGTGGGGGGAGCAATGACCTAAACAGTCTCTTGAAGCAGGGGAGCAGCAAGGCCATCAAGAGGGGTTCCCTTTTGCTTCCCCTGTGGAAAGGGGCAAGTGCAAGAGACAAACGGGGGGGGGGGGCTCCGTCCTTCAAGGACTGCGGTTCCAGGCCAGCACTGCTCAGCCAGACGTGCCTCCCCCTCTAGCAGAAGTCCAGGGTCCTGCTCTAGTTCAACAGAACGGGCCATGTGCTTACCATTTGTCTCGACCGCATTGATGCATTTCCGGACAAATCTGAAGCCGATCTCGTTCAGTTCCACTGTCGGGAAAAAAACCAAAGCAAAAGTCAAGAGAAGATTCTCCCTCGGCAAACTCCAGGAAAGCAAGTAAGGACATGTTTATTTTTCTCCCCCCTGAAGACACGATGCTGATTTTATGCAGCCAGCACCTGCTTACACCTGCAGGCAAGAGAGGCTCCCGTTGGTACCAACTGAGGGTGAACTATGGCCCTTCTCCAGGGATTATGGCCAGGCCCAAATCTGTGGGGCGTTTAAAAAACCGCTGCCAGTCAGCACCGTAAAGCATGCCGGGCTAAGAACCTGGCCTATTCTAAGTGCTGGTGGCTCCCTGCATGCAAGGAGAAATCAGGTGATTCCAGATCCCACTAGACAAAACGCCTTTTAGGAACTCCAAACCCAGCCCTGCTCTGCAAATGTGGCGGGATAAGAAATGAGCCAAACTCAGTAGAACGGACAGGGAAGTCTGCACTGTACTTGGACTTCTCTGATTAGATTTAAGGTACAATGGTTTTATACCGGCCTTTTATGGTATAAAAGTGGTCTGTCCGCATGTGTTGAACTCCAATTCCTGCAAGTCCTTCACTAAGTGGACTGGGGAGGAGGTGGGTGGGAGGAGACCGGGGGAACTGGAGGTGCATAATGCAGGTGGGACCATGAGAATTCAGACCAACTCTATTTTCTCCCCATAAAGCTCCTTCCTTACTGAAGTCGGTTTGGACTCCGTGTGTCACATGCAGGAGGAATACATGTGCTAATTAAAATATTCCTAAGAGGACATTATTGGTGTTGGGCGACAGAGTTAACAAATGGGGGCTGAAACCCCCTACAGCACAGAGGCCCAGCTGTCCGGTGGGCCTGCCCCAAGGGAAGGGCGAATGCCTTGGGCCGCATATAAACGATAGGATAGAGTCAATGCATATCAATCCCGGGTTGGACGTGGATTTGTGCATCTCCTGGCTATCTAGGTTTTCCCAGCCCTCATCGGGCGGCTGTAATGAACATTTCCAATTAACTATTTGGGGGATTTTTATTTTAAGAACAAATGTTTAAGCTGAGTTCATTCAGGCATGGATCCTGCAGAAAGGAAGGAGCTGAAGTGGGCAACCTCCGGGCTGCACTCTTACTCCTTGCATTTTACTACTCCAAGTCACCTTTGTGGAGAAAGGGGGATGGGTTGGTGCAAAACGTCTTTCTGGGGCTGAGAAGGGCTGGGTTTGAAGCGTCAAGTGAAAGAGAACACCGCGGCTCTGCCTCTTTTCTAAGGCTTCCCTGCAGCCGAGCAATGGCCGGCTTTTCCAAAAACATCCGCAGTCTGGAGGGGAACTGTATGGCTCTCCTCAAAAAGTTATGAAGCTGCTGAAGAAAAAACCCCAAGATATTCGTAGCCGAAACTTGGAAACGATGCAAGACAATGTGACCCTTTCAGGAACCAAAGGCTGCGAATTGTCTGCGGCTGGATGGGCTCATGGAAGCCGATTCAAAACGGTGACCCTGAAGTCAGAGCAATGTGGAAGGACACGAAAGGGGGATCCTTCCCAAAACAAAAGGCAAGGAACCCCCCCCCCCCTTTTTTTTTTGTTTTTTTGTTTTTAAAGGAGGTTCATTGTCTGGAACCTTTTAAATTTCCTGAGCCTGGAAATGTTGCTGCTCGTTCCCACTTTAAAGTTTGGTTGCAAAACCGGGAGATGCCACCAGCAGGGGGCAGCAAGGGGCACTCTCGGAAACAGAGCGGCTCCCTCTGGCATCCCCAGTGCTGGGAAAAGCCCGCAGATACTCACTTTCCTCCTGCTTGGTGATGGGACTGTGGTAGATCTAAAGAGGGGAGGGGTCAATAAGGATCAACAGAAAGCACAACAGGACAAATGAATGGGGGGGGGGGGGAGAGAGAGAGAGAGAGAGAGAGAGAGAGAGAGAGAGAGAGAGAGAGGAAACAGAGATAAGTCATTTGAAAATAAGCACTTGGGTTAGTTTTCATCTTTGCAAAGTCTTTGCCAAGCTGCGCATTACAGTGAAAGGCTTTAAATGCTTAAGATGGGAAAAAAAGGCACCCTGGACACACACACACACACACACACACACACGCACGCACGCATCTCCTGGCTATCTAGGTTTTTTTCCCAGCCCTCATCGGGCGGCTGTAATGAACATTTCCAATTAACTATTTTGGGGCTCTGTGTGTGTGTGTGTGTGTGTCGGGAAGGGCCTGTTCCTCATATGACCAGCTCTGCCTTCCATTTTTTCCTCTGCGGGTCTCTAGCCTAGTGGGGAGGGGGCTTCCTACCGCTCCCACCCTTCCATGTCTTCCATTCCAGCTTCCCCTGGAAGGCCTCCTGCTCCGGCCTCCCCTGCCCAGGCACAGGGCAGCACCCCAGCAAGGGCTCCTTCTCCTCCTTGTCCTGCCAGTGGGCCTGAGGGGGAGGAGACGGTCCCTTCCGTTTTCCCAGAATGCTCTGCTGCAGCTGCCACACCTGGCATCCACCAGGCCCGAGAAGAGGCTGCAAACCAGCAGGGCCTCGGGGGGCAGCATCCACTTGGGTGCTGGCACAGGATTCTTCTTCCCCACCTTCCCTAGCAGGTCAGACCTGGTGTTGGACAACAGCAATCTTTCTTCCTCACACCCTCCTGGGAGCCTGGCTTCTCATCTCCGATATCAGGCGAGCATAATTTATGCGCCAGGATTCAAGGTTTACAGCAGGGGTGTCCAACCTTGGCAATTTTAAGACTTGTGGACTTCAATTCCCAGAGTTCCTCAGCCAGCTTTGCTGGCTGAGGAACTCTGGGAGTTGAAGTCCACAAGTCTTAAAGTTGCCAAGGTTGGACACCCCTGGTTTAGAGCCTTTGATGATTTACTCAGTGGCTGCAGAGAATCTAAGCAAAACCAGGAGTAATTTTTTGCAGAGATTCAAGTTATCTCAAAAATCATAGGAACAGCATCCTATTTTAGGGAAGTGACTCTAGCAAACTGTGTTCAGAAGAAATTCGCAGAGGACTTTTTCAGAAGTCACAACGTGCGTTTCAAATGCGCTTTAACGTGCCAATAATAAATGTCGTAATTTACTGTAATCGAAGACTCCGTTAATTCAGAACTCTGTTTATTATGCAGATGATCAACATAACGAACAAAAACGAAGGTGCTTCCAACTTTCAGTTATGAACTTTATTACGAATTTTAGCCCACTTTTCCACCAAGAGTCCAAAATAAAGCAACATAATAAAACCAAATGGCTAAAGTCACCAAGTTCACTCAAACACAACCAGGAGAGCGAATTTCTCAGCCACGGGGGGCTCCTTAAGGGCATATAGGACCCCCTCAAACGCCAACTGGCTCTGCTGCAACAGACATCAGGGGGCGTCTCGAGGTAAATGGGGGCTGCTTAGGGGGCAAACCTGCTCTGTTCCTTTCGGTGGCGGCTGAAACTCCAAACCATGTTTATAATCCTGTCCAATTTTATTTGGCCTTTAGCAGAAACCTTCAGGGGCTCCACCATCCTTCCCAACACGGGAGCCGAAACCTTTCCCGTAGCATCGGTTTTAACGTTGGGGGGGGTTTTAATATCTGGTTTCCATTCTCGGGTGCCTTGGAAACGGAGGGCGGTCCGTGTTCTGGCTGAGGTTCATTGGCTTTAATTCCCTGCACCTCCCGCCAGGGCGCTAACAGCCAGCCAGGCCAGGCAAGGGGGAATGGGGGAACTGTAGCTGTCTGGGGAGGGGCGGGAGGAGAGGGGCAGGCCTGGGGCTAAGCTGGGGTGGTGGGCATTCAAGGGGAAGCTCCCACCGTGCAGGCTGAGCCCTTGAGGCTGGGAAGGCGGCCTAGGGGTTTCTCTTGCAGCCTCTCCCATCGGGCTCAGCTGGAAGTCAGGCCACCCTGTTCTCCCCTAGAGGCCATGCCAGAAATTGGACAGAACAATGCAAAGGCTAACAAGACAAAATGTGAAAAGTTGCCAGGACATTCATGGGCTTCTTAAAAAGTCTTAACTCAATTCAACTCAATTATCCTTTTTTTTGGGGGGGGGGGGGGGCTGCGAAGGGCATCTGGGGTCCTAAGGAGCCAGCTGCTCCCTTGACCCCACCGGACTTCACTGGTGTCCAGCTTCATTCAAAAGGGCTTCGCTTCGTAATGGACGTCCACTGGATGACACCAACTCCAGGCTGAAAACGAGTCCCAAGGGCCCCTTTTAACTATGCCAAGGGGTATTTTTTTTTTTTTTTAAAGAATCAGCTAAAAAACACACTTTGTGGAGAGTTTGCCAGTCTGGAACCACCCCTTGAAACCTCCCCATTCTGGAGGAGGAAAAGGACCAGCCTTTGCTCCGGCCAGGAGCCGCCCTCCATACCTACCGGCTCCTTCCCGTCCATGGCCTCCATCCAGAGCCGCCGGTTGGCTTCCGAGGGAGCTTGCAAGGTGATGGGACCAGACCTGCATAACATTCAGCAAGGGGGGGGGGACAAGAAAGAAAAACTGTCAGCCAACTCAAACGTAGCTTTTTCTTTTTCTTACAACTCCCAAAACCCAACTGAAAGATATAAACAAGGGAGGTTCTAGGAAGGGCCCACGCTGAGAAAAACAGGCAGGCTTCTTTCACACTCTTCGGTATTCTAATGCTTCCATTTTTAGCAATTGGAGGTAAGTATTTGTTCTTTGCGAGGAATGATTGTTTCTCCTGTTATAGCAGATCAGTGCTTCTCAAATTGAACAACTTCTCGATACGTGGGTTTTATCTCTCGCAAGATCAGCCATGGCCAGGCTCTGGGGGCTGAAATGCACAGATCTGGACGTGGCTCAGCTGCAAATGAAACCAGGGGAAATAGTAGCTCAATCTCCGGTTTGATCAAGAGAACCTCTTGGACTAAGGGCCAGGCACCTATTTTAGCTCAATCTGAAACTGAAAACAAACGTGTAGCCTATTCAAAGAAATGTACCGAATTGATCAAATCGTTTCTACATTTTTCTTTCTATACTTAACCCGTTTTCCCATCCATCTCCCCTTTTTCTTTCAACGTATATTTTATCATCATCATCACTGCCATGACTTCATCGAGCGGCTCTGGGTTTTTAACCCGCCATCCAGCCTGGATGCCAACAACAGCTCAAAGGGAACCGACATCCCCACTGCCATCATATCTGAGCAGAGCTGCGTCCTCCTGAAATGCCCCCAGCAGAAAGCACCAGTTTGAGTGGTTTTAGGAAACCCTTCCAAAAAGGAGAATAGCATTCCCACCCATCTGAGTGAGGAAAAGCTTTCACCCCTTCATTACAGCTTATTTTTTTATCTGCACGATCTTTAAAGAAGAGCCATCCAATATTTCACCGGGACCGAAGCTGCCGATCGTTTAGCTCACCTTTCAACCGTCTCAATGTCGAAACAAAACCTTTTGTCGATGGAGTCCGTCTTCCTTCGCACGCAGGACTTCAGGATCAAGTGTACAGTGGTGCCCTGAGAGGAACAGAACGCGACGCTTAAAAAGAAGTACCAACCACAGGCCAGGCGGCGCTTTCAGAAACACACATCAAGCGTCTCAGCCAGCCAACCGATGCAAGGGGACAGCACAACTTCGTCTCAGTCTGATCTCGGCCAATGAAGCGCAAGACCAGGAACCGACATTTTCTCCTCGCAGGAAAGCATGAGGGACAGAGGGCCAAAGCAGGAGCAGCCTGCCCGATGCGGCCACCGCAGCCCTTCTCAGCTGGACTCCTGGCCAGCCTTCATTCCTCTGCCAGGAGCCCCCAGCAGTCACCGTGGGGCCTTGGTCCTGCCACTGGCTTGAAGGAGCAGCCTCCGTTCTGCTAGCTGGGACCCTCCTTGACGGGGTTGGGCTGGGCCGCTGGGCAGGCCCTGAGGAAGCGCCCCACGGCAGGGTGCGAAGGGGGACACGGGGCAGCGGCACCTGGGGAAGGGGGGCACCTGACAGGTGGGGAAACGGAGGAGGGAGTTCAGGGCAGCAGCCAGCCAGCCTTCTGGGCCGGGAGGGTCATTCTGCAGTTCATTTCTTTGTCAGGTAGGAGTCATACCCAGTGGATCTGCAACCGGTACTAAGAGAGGAAAGGGGGAACTGGGTGGGAGCAAGTGGGGGGGAAGGCGGCTGGGTGGCCCTGGGCTCTGGCAACGGCGGTGATAGGCCTCCCGACCTTGCCACTCTCCTTCCAAAAGCCCTAATCCGAGGAGCAGAAATGGACCAGGTCGGATGCACCAAGGTGGGCAAGAGGCCTGGGATGGAAAGTGACAGGAGAGGGAGGGTCCTTTGCCATCCTTGGCTTGGCTTGGCCTCCTCCCTGCCGGTCGATGGAGTCCGTCTTCCTTCGCACGCAGGACTTCAGAACTGCAGGACTGTGCCTTGAACCGGGAGGCCTACAGCTTCTTCTGGCCACGCCCATGGGCTCATTCACAGCCGCGTAGGCACCCTCGCTGGAGGGCTGGAGCCAGGGGTTGCAGGGATCAGGGGGGCCTGTTCATGATTCTTCTGACAAATGGCACAATGCACATCCGACACACAAAAAAAGAATTTCCATTCGGTTAAGAGAAGGTTCCCCCAAACGGATGCCTCGTAGCTCTTACTATCGCCAGCCTGCCTGTAAACACTCTGAAACTAGTTACATCCCTTGGTGAAGATTGCAAACGAACGAACAGAACCAAGTGCATCTCAACTGGAAAGCAGGAAGTTACAGCGGACGCGGGAAGCCACAAGCTGCCGTTTGAGCCCAGCGTCCGTGAAGGGCTACCAAAGGGGCGCAGAGGTTCTGCCCAGTTTCCCACCATTGGTGCAAGGCACTACTCACTTGTTTCGCTCCTGGTTTCTGCTCCATGGGTGTCATTCTTAACATCTTTGTTTCCTTCTCGTACTGGCAGTAGTACTTGACCCAGGAGATTCCCAGGGCCCCTACATCAAGTCAAGAGAGGAATTAATACCCAAGACACACACACACAAACACACACACACACACACCCATCCGTTTTCCACGGCCAGAGACCTGCAGTATCTAATGCAAGCATCTCAAACTCTGCCTGGGTCTCCAGCACTAAAGACAAGACAAATGGCAGGCAGGCCTCTCTCACTTCTCCAGGTGGGAGATTAAAAAACCAACGCCACAGGCTAGCTATCGCATCCTGGCCCTTGCCGACTTCTCTCGGCTCCATATATCAGAGAACTTGACTCGATTCCTTGATTTCAGTCCTGGTTACAACGTTGAGTTTAACTAATGGCATGGCCTCTGCTCTCATGGATTAACACTCATGATATTCTCATTAGCAGGATGAGGACAACTGGTCTAGACGACGCCACTGTCAGACAACGCCACAGATGGACGACTACTATGCCCAAAGAGAGCTTGTGGGTGAAGGCCACACCTGGGCCCAGCGCTGCTCGACATTTCTATTCATGACCAGGAGGGGAGTGGACGTTTAACATGGACCAATGACAAAGTCCTGCATCTCAGGCATTCCAAGACATGGCAGCGGTGAAGCTGCCAAGCAGCAAATGGTGGAGTCCAGATTGTGGGAAGTGATTTTCACTCTCTATTCTGCCTTGACCACGGACCACGTAGCGTAGGGCACCTAATTCCAAACATCACAATCTGAAGGGGGGGAAAAAAGACCAATTGGATCCTCTCAGAAGAGGACTAAATGACCTAGGAACAGAAATTGTCCACCGAGGAAGTTTGACGAGAGTGGGTATGTTCAGCTTACGAAAGAGACGATCGAGGGGAAAGAGAAAAATCAATCAATCAGAATAGAACTGGAAGGGACCCTGGAGGTCTTCTAGTCCAGCCCCCAGATGAGTGACTGTCCGGTCTCTTCTTTTAAAACCTCCAGTGATGGAGCACCCACCACTTCTGACAGCAAACTGTTCCATGGGTTCATAGCAGCCTGTAGAAATCTGAAGTTGTAGGGAGCCAGGACATTTGTTCTCTGTTGCCCCAGAGGACAAGACCAGAAGTTGAAATGTAAGGAAATAGATTCCAGGTAAGAAATTAGGAAGAGCTTCCTGAAAGTGAGAGCTGTCAAACAGCGGGACAGGCTGTTCTATCTACCTTATACACCACCACCTCTTTACTGGAGGATTTCGAAATGAGGACTGAATGCACCAAATAAGGGGGGGGGGAGGATCAGATGGGGGCAGGGGGAGAGAAAAGGGAGAAAAGTAAATACAGGAACCAGCAGAGTTGTTATGAACCTGGGAATCGTTTTTGCAAAGATGACTCCAGCCAGATACAACTCACAGATACGCATTTTTAGCCTCCTCCGTCCTGAGTTTTTCAAATAAATAGCAGAGACTTCCTATGAATATGAGTGGCCGCACCTTTATAACACAGACCAAGACTGAAGTTCACACCCACATACATCTATTAAGGGCCTTGCTGTAGAAAGAGGCACCTCAGGTGAGCAGAGCTGGTTTAAAGGGTCCGTTTTGGGGATTCCGTGGTGTTCAGCACTTAAGAGACCCAAGAATACCCCAGACCCTGTGACGCAATTATTTGCCTCACATTCCTGCAAGACGCTATTTGATATCAGTCCCCAAGGCCAAGATTGACTTGCCAGTGATGTTCTGTGTGGCTTCAGGTGTGCACGTGTTCTTTTCCACCACTCGAGTTTCTGTAGGGACGAGTATGAGACTGGGATACCTCAAGCACTGGTTAAAACCGGTCTTTAGGGCAGGAACCCTTAATTCTCTTCGGTAATAACCATTTCTTCCCGAAAGAAGGCCCAGACTCAGATGTAAGGCATTGCAGCTTCTCAGTCCCCCTCTGGGCTTCACAGAGCTCAAGAAAGCTAATCTAGAATTGAATTCTCGGGAGTGCATTCCCTTATTATTATTATACAGGTAGCGTATACAGAGAAACCTTTCCCTAGTTTACTAAGGCCTTATTCATCCTACATCCTGGAGAAACAAGAAGGCCTTCCAAAAGATCTCTGAATACAGGAGGGTCTAAGCTCGAACTGATATACTGAAGGATCTCAATAGACAGATAGCAACTGTCCATTTCAAAATACTATATTGAAATTCTGCACCGTAGGGATGGCACAGACTCAGCCCAGCCCACTCACAAGGTTGTACTGGTGGTGGAATACGTGGCAGGAGGATTAGGTAGGTTTGTCATCTTGAGTTGACATTTTACACACACACACACACACAAAATACAGGTGGGATAAAAATATGACAATAACAAGAACAACAACAAGAAGGCAGAAGATGAGAGGAACTGCTGGAACCTCTAAGAAATATGGCAGGCAGCAGGACACAAACCAGTGGGATTCTAGCCACGTTAGGCCAGCAAGAAGACATTTTGCGGGAGGAATATTGTGAGAAACCCTGGAGAATTCAGCATGGGCAACACAGCCCACTAGGGGCTGAAGGAAACATTCCCATTGCCAAGAGCAAGGCACCTCTTCTTGAAGGGTCTACTTCCCCACGTGGGTCTCCCACAGCCGCTTCCTTTGGCCGCCATCCCAGGGAGGGAGCTGCACCCGTGTGCAGCCTTCCCGGGAAAGCTTGTGAAGCCCCTGGGCCAACCCTTCCGGAGCAAGTGCTTCTGAAGGAGCTCCATTCAATGGGCAGCCATGCCAGATCCCAAGCGGAGGGAGTTGAGCCCGGGGAGGCACGGGGACTCCTCCAATTCCCATTGTTTACAATCTACCCTTAGGATGATTCCTTTAGTGGCCACGTCTATTTATGACAGTTTCACCCTCCTGGGGTCACAAGATTGCCATTTGCCCTCTTCCCACCCAAGGAGCAAAGTCAGTGGCGGAAGTGGGGAAAAAGGTCGTAAAATCGGGCATCACCTGAGAGTCGGATCGCTTTGGATCAAGAACTCTGGTGGCCTAACGGTGGCCTAATTTGAGGACTATCCGTAACCTGGGGAAGCAGGAAACGGTTCCATTTTAATTTCTCCTCGCTTTCCTTGGTAATTTGTTTTGAAAGGAATGGTGAGGATTCTAGCGAAATCCCCATAAATGGTGCAAGGGGTCCTCTATTTGGACAGAAGCGTCAAGGGAGAAGGAGAACAGGGTGCTTGGGGGCAGGACCCGAAGGAGTGCAAGATGGAGAGCAGAACGGATATCCTCACCATCACCCCCATCATCATGGCTTGAAGGTTTGAACTGGGCAAGTCAAGGCCCCAAACTCCCAGGTTCATTTTTGAATTGTTTCCTCTCCCCCTCCCTCCGATTTTTCATCATCGTTTCAATTAGTTTTAGGCCAAGGCTTGACCAACAGGTGGACCCAGAAAGGACTGGGCACGGGGACCTTCCATTGACTGCAAGGAGGCAGCGGAAGAGCAGCGGCCACTTATTTCCAAGACCTTCAATCCAAGGCATCTTTTAGCCATAGCCACAAGGAGGGACTCTCTCTCGTTTCCACTCTACAGCTTTCTGGATTCTACTCTGCGTAACCTTCTTCGAAGGAAAAGCAACTCTGCCTCTTACATTTTTCTTGTGAATAGAGGTATCCCTCGATGGTTGGCTTGCCAGGTAGTTTGCAGGTCAGTGGAGCTTCTTTCATTCTTTTCTTGAGGTCCTCCAGCTCTTCACGAGTGCTGATGAAATGATTCCTTGTCTGTTGAGCAACGCGAGAAAAGACACCATTCGTATTTGGGAGGCAAAACTCTTGTGGGTCAGGTAGCCAGTGGGACACCTCAACCGTCTGCCACGAAAGAGCCAGAGAAGGCGGCTAATCTTGGTGGACCAGCCGAGCAACCCTTTTAAGCAGAGGCTGGCCAGGTGACCGCGGGGACTTTGCAGAGATATGCAGGAAGCAAAGGTGGGTAACGCTTTCTAAGATCACCAGGGCTGTTTTGAGAATGAGCCTCCAGAGAGAACAGTGGAAGAGCCGGCTTTCCATCCTGGAGTTTTAATATAAGTGGAAGGTAATCACAGGGGTTCAAAGGTTTAGACAAAGGGGTCATTTTTAAACAACCAGGCATACTTTTTGCATCCTGCCTTTACGGTGCTTAGGGACGGTGGTTTGTTTTCCCCAGTACTAAACAAAACAAAACCTTTGCACAATTGGGAAGAATGTTTATCCAAAGAGGCTCAACGTATTTGATATTGCAACACACAGCTTGCCCTTCCCTGGAGCCTGGGGGAAGAGGAGAGAGCCTGGGTTCACGGCTGTTCTGAAACCGGGCTCTCTCGTTTGAGGGGTGGCATGTCTCCCGCTCCCCAGAGGTCCGGACACCCACCAGCTTCCCCTGAAGGAGGCGGCATAGAACCAACACAGCCGGAGTTCCTCTCTGGGCAGCCATTTCTCCCTCCCCCAGGTTGGAGAAGGGGAGGAACAGGTCCCGCTCAGCACCTGGACGGGCCCCTCTGGTCAACTTTTCCCTCTTCCAGGGAAGGCAAGGGCTGCAGTGGGGATCGCTGCCAACGGTAGATCTGGTGACCTTGGCTGACCAAGAGACACCCCTTGGCTGCCCCCACCACCCTTGGGGAAGGCCCAGGATATCTCAGGGTGGTTCTGGCAGACAAATTCATCAAGGCCCCGTGGATCAATCTAGGCCACAGGTTGGGGTTTCTCAGATATCCCTGTCTCAGGTTAAAAAAAAGGTTGAAAACAGGACCAAGTGCTCTCTGGGCGTCACCGATTCCTTGTGGCTTTTTTTTTTTTTTTTTAAGTGAGTTAAAATGTACGTGCCTAAGCGTAAAAGTCAGTGGTGAGAATAAGAGTGTCACTAAGAATGGCTGCTTCTCCACTTAAAAAGAAGAGGAGGGAAGACACTTGGGGATATTGGCAAATTCACTTACATTTTGCAAACTGAGCTGAAGCTGTTGCTTGTATGGAAGGAAATCTTGTGTGAGCTCCACAGTCAGGTTGTTGTAAGTGAAAAGGCTATGAAGAAAAGCCAACACCTGTGCAGGGAAGAATGACAGCATTTTAAAAATTGTACAGGCAAAAGCCATGGACCATGCCAAAAATGGAACTGGGCCTCTCTGGAGGAGGAACATGTGGCTAAATTGGAACTGATTTCAACACTGGCCAAGCAGGGCTGGTGGGCCTCACAGGCGCCCGACAAATTAAAGATTCGGACCAAGTTCACACCCGAAGAGGAAACATAAGCTACTAATGTTCACCTACTGTACTCTTCCTCACTAAGTGCATCTACAATTGTTGTGGAATAGGTTTTTCCCTTTAATTCTGCATAATTTATTATACATTTTCTCTAAGTCAAGGACAACAATGTTTGAATATAATAGTAGTGGTAGATATGGACCCAAAAAATTTAAGCTCTCTTTGGCAACTTTTCTTATTTAGACTTAAGTTTATAAAGTTTATAGAGAATACAGAACCAATTTTCTACTACTTCTAAATGGAGTGGAACTATTTATTTCTGTGTGAAACTCTGCACATTTTAGTTTCCTGCTTTTGATCACTTTACAGCCAAGAGAAACTCTCAATTTCTATTTACAGCAAAATGAAATAAAAAGAAAAAAAATACAAAAGATTATTGAGGGCCAATTTCACCTTCATAAAAATTTTTTATTTACTTTTGTCACCTTTCCTTTCCTTTCTCTTTAAGAATAAAAGCATTACAAACACTGTAAAGGTTTACTTACACTAAAGAGCAAGGCCGGGTCTTCTACTTATGACCAGATACTGTTCAAAATTATGACAGACCACCCCAAAGGTACTTATTAGCCACTTCTGAAGTTCCAATACAACTTTTAAAAGATTATAAAATCTAGCCAGTCCTGTGTTGACAACCGTTGTAATTTTTGGCCATGATGGGCAAACTCCATTGGGGCCCTAAGCCAAGGACTGTCCTTAGAAGGCAGCCTCTCAATTACAGAATCTCTCTTCCCTTTAAACTGGGATCAGATAAAAGGCTGGAGTGTGTGTGTGTGTGTGTGTGTGTGTGTGTGTGTCAGACTTACAGGCTCCACAATACTGAATTTCTTGCTCTCTTGCACTTCTTGGATTTGATAAACATATTCCAGGGAAGATTCAAAAAAAACGTGTCGCTCTTTATCAACCAGCAAATCAGCCTGAAGAGAAAAAAAGAAAAAATAAATAAATACTACACAATTGTCCTGCTGAAATTAAGGAAGCTATAAATCTATGAGCAGCTGAACACTATTTCTAAAAGTAGAATGAGAGCCCAGGGAGGAAAATACCCCAGAACAGAAAACACCATGTGTTTTGAATTGTTTCCCAAGAACAAATTGTATTAGCTATACTAGCCAGAATTCCTATTTGAGACTTGCATTCATTTCAAAGCGTCCATTCAAGTGTGCAAATGAACAATACATAACAAATAGGGGGAAAGTGAATACAAAGTTCAACTTTATTCTCTGTTACTGAACACATAGGTTTTGCCAGTTTGTGAATTTTTATTTCACCTTTATTACATTTACAAATAACTCAAGACGGGGAACACATACAACACCTCCTCCTCCTCCTATTTCCCCCCACAACAATCCTGTGAGGTGGGTTGGGCTGAGAGAATGACGGGCCAAAGGTCATCCAGCTGGCTTTCATGGCTAAGGGCGGAACTTGAACTCACTGCCTCCCGCTTTCTAGCCTGGAGCCTTAACCACCAGACCAAACTGGCTCTCCAAACTGTCCTCATGAAGAGACTCATTTACAACTTGGGTCCAAGCTCTAGGCCCTGCTCACGGACGCAGGAGCCAGGCAAAGGGGGAGGGAGGTGTTGGACTGGCAAAATCCAGGCTTGGTCCACTCTTAGCCAGTAGGACTCACTGGCTGACCTAGGCCCAAGTGTCTAACCGACAAAGGTTGTTGTTGCAGAGACGGCTCTTGTTCCTTTCTGGCCCACCACTGGTGATAAAATGTGATGTCCAGAATGCTTTCGCTTGCCAGAAATAAGCAGATGTAATGGGTGCAACATCTGTATGATTGTGGCCTGTTCTATCAGTTCAAGAGGTAACTGTCAATCATTTGGTGGGGGGGTGGAACCACAAGGCAGCCAAGTCGGTGGGCCTGGTCCACGGGTGGGACAACTCAGGAGTGGGAGAAAACTTCCTGGCAAGCAGAAAAGGAACAGGAAGCTTGGGGAAAAATGCAGAGCGACGCATTTTGGGTCTTGATTTCCTGTAGCAATCAAGGTCAGACATAAATAAACCACAGACAGGTACCTTGAGCTGCTGGGCTACATGAAGGTGCCTTTCTCCTGATCCAAGTTCTCTGACTGCCACCCAACCGTCACCCAACCCTCTTTTACCTCTTGCAGTTGAGATTCCTTTTTCTTGGAAGATAAATGCAGGTGGCGGTCCAGCATGGAGTAAAACTTCTCCCCATCCTTCTCAAACTTCTTCTTCCTTTCCTATGGAGAGAGAATTTGCACAAACTTCTACTGGGATCTACGGAGCACAAATGGAAGAGCCAAAAACAGAATTCACCCAACCTGTTAAAAACCTGGATGTTCGGAGAGGAAGAAAAATTGTTCTGATTTTGCTCAAAGACTTTGCTAATATTATTTTCATATAATCCCAATTTCTGACTGGGGAATGTCTCCTCAAGCCCAAAATGTAAGTGTTTTGGTTTACACACACACACACAGAGAGAGAGAGACAACTATGTTTGAACTTAGGCAATAAGCGCTGTGAATGGAGGATTCTCAGATTAAGTTTTTCCTATTAGTTTTGCCCAGAATGTTCATGAGCAAATCTGAACTGAAGCTTATCTTCTGTATCTCACCGTGTTTATTCTGCTGTGCACAAAAACAGTTTATTTCTAACACAGACCCAGTATAAAACTGCACTCAGTCTGGGAATAATTAAAGTGACAGAATAACAGATTAATAACAAAATTATGCAGATTGTTAACAAATGAACTTTTAAACTCTTAGACTATGTGAATTGTCGGTGATATTAAACCATTGATATTAAACCATAGATTTCATAGACTTTACAGACTATGATATGAGACCCAGTATAGTGTAGTGGTTAAAATGCTGACCTACTATACAACTTTGGGTTAACATAAAAATTTTCCCACAAACCTGAACACATACATGAACATGCCATCCCAAAAAAAGACGCCAACTGACCACACAACTATATCATGTGGGTCAAGGAACCTGCAATTTTTTTTATCTCTCTAGGGTAGAAAATCTGATATCCATCCTTTCAAATATGTTCTTCAAGGACTCCAATCTGCCCTAAATACAATTTGTGATGAATCAACCTGAATCTTAGATCTGCAGACACTATTGTACCATTTTAAAGATCATAAATCCACTGACAGGACTTTGGGGGATTTTATTTCTTTAGTCCATGCTTCAAATATTCTGGAAATGTCCACTTTAAAAGTATTTTTGAGCTTTTGATAAAAATATATTACATGTTTTAATTCTGACATGGATTCTATCAAGTAAAAATGCATTACAGCCAATTTAAAGTCATGATCTCAGCTTTTGTACAAACTTTGCAATTTACCACCAATTTTCTTAATAGAAGTTTTTCCAAAGAAAAATGACTGTCATTATCACATATGACTCTTATGATCAAAATTCTATCCGTGTCCCAAAATGGCCCAGATTTCTCACCACTCCATGAAATAAAATACTTTTCTTCTACAGATTATACTTGCCATAGTCACATAGGAAATATGTGCAATATGTCATTATATTTTCACTTTACAAGCAGCTATCTGATAAGGCCAATTAGTTTTTTAAAAATCGCAAAGGTTAGGGTTGCCATTTTATAAAGTATATCTAAGTTTTAATCTGATAAAAGAAAGCAGATTTTAATCTGATAAAAGAAAGCAGATATCTGGTCTACCTCAGTATTTGCTTAAAAGAAGAGCTGTGAATCAGGAGAGAGCCATGCTAGTCTGTGGTAGCCCAGAATCAGGAGTCTATTCACTTGTTGAAACCAAGATATTTTATTAAAAGGCATAAGCGTTTGTGAGTGCTTTTCCTCAGATGAACAACGCTGGATTTAATTCAACACTATTGCCACTCGATTCATCTGACGAAATGAGCTGCTGCTCACAAAAGCTTATGACTTCTGATGAAACGTGTTGGCCAGAAAAGACACTCCCGTCGCATCTTCTGAGCAACGACCGGCAGTCCCTTGTAGGGAGAGAGCTGTGGTGAGACCCGTGAGAGTGATTCTCACCCTTAGAAGGGAGAGGACACGAGTGTCCTTCACCGTTTCTCGGCCTTTGGGCTGAGAGCAAAAGCTCTGTGGTGGCTGGGAGGGCGCACGGGCAGCGCTCGCCTCAGAATGGCTCCCATTCCTGACTCCGCCTCTCACCCGGATTTCTACCTTAGGCACAACTTGCATTTGCAAATGGGCTGCCGATTGCTCTGCATTGCCTTTCCTTTCCTTTCCTTTCCTTTCCTTTCCTTTCCTTTCCTTTCC